TTTATTTTTGCGTATTTTAAAGCTCTGCTATCAGAGGTACACATTTATGATTTATATACTTTCACTCTGTCTTTATAAAGTCCATTTCTTGCTTTTTTATTCATTCTGATAACCTCTGCCTTTTAAGTATGGTTTAAGTTTATTTACATTTAGTACAATTATCAGTATGATGAGTTTAAGGTCTTATTTTAAAATTATTCTTTTCTCTTTGTCCCCTCTCTCTTTGTTTCCTTTGTTCTCCCTTTCTTTGGATTATTTGAATATTTTTAAATATTCCCTTTTAATATAATTGTTGGTTTCTTTTTTCCTTTTTTCTTTTAATTAATTAATTTATTTATCTTTAGAGAGGAGAAAGGAGGGAGAAAGACAGGGAGAGAAACATCAATGTGTGAGAGATACATTGATCGGTTGCCTCTTGCACACCCCCAACTGGAGACCCAGCCCACAACCCAGGCATGTGCCCTGACTGGGAATCAAACTGGTGACCTTTCAGTTCACAGGCCAGCATTCAGTCCAGTGAGCCACAGCAGCCAGGGCAACTGTTGGTTTCTTAATTATATGGCTTTTTGTATTTTTTATTAGTTGCTATAAGGATTACAATATATAGCCTTAACTTTTCAGTCTCTTAAAATTGTACCACTTCACACAAAATGCAAACACTACAATTGTTTAGGTCTGTTTAGTACTACAACCATCCCCTAACCCCACCATCCTTTATGCTCTAGTTGTTATAGGTATTACATCTATATGTATTAAATCTATGTACCTATTATAAACCTGACAATACTTGTGGTTTTTGCTTCAAATGGTCATATATGGTTTTCTAAGTATTTTACCTTTATTTGCTTTGCAGATTTAACTAAGGATAATACATTTAATAAACATCAGAAGTTACAGGACAGTGCTGAAGCCAGAATTGGCTGCTGACAGACTCAGCTGGTGAAGAGGTTTTGTTTCTGTGTGAGCAGTAGCCTGGGCAGTTGGGTATATCAGAGTTGAGTAGTGTGAAGAGGTCCTGGTGCTCGGATGGGGCTATATATACCAGTGCCAGGGATGGAAGCCAGAGTCAGTGCCTCAATTTCAGATTCATTTGGGGGATGAACTAAGGCATTCATTCAGATTCTCAACATCATTCAATGTTGACCCATCATACCTATTTTAATTTATTTCAATATGGAAAACCAACCAATTCCTACTAATTATTAATTAAAACAGTTAACATACTACAATACAATTTTTTCCTGGATTTTCTTGGAGTTACTAGCTGAATAACAGTATTTCCTATAAACATTGATTATTTTATCACCTAATATAAATTTTTTTAAACTTTGTAAGATAATTTATGTGTGAGTAAATTAAGTGGTTCAAAATTCAGAAGGTACATAAAAATGAAAAATCTCTTTTTCATCCCATTTCTTCAGGCACAGATTTCTTCCCATCAAGTAACTAAAGTTATGTTTCATGTGCATCCCAATTTCTCCATGTATAAGTAAATATGTGTATATTCCCCAAGCCCCTCTTATACACACACATACAAGGACAGTCTACACTGTTCTGAGCTTAGTTTAGCCACTAAACATCATATTCTGAAGCTCTGTGTATTTCCATACATAAAGACCTTTCTGATCTTTTTATGTTTTATGAAACTCTCTTATTTGGTTAGGGATTATTTGACAAGTCCATTGTTGATATATATATTGATGGATGCTAAAAATTATTTGCTTTACAAATAGTGCTGCAATGACTAACTGTCTCTGCATGTCAGTTGTACACTTGAGAATAGATCTCTAGGATAAATATCTAAAAGTGTAATTATTGGATCAGAGGATATGTGTATTTGTAATTTTGATATATTGTGAAATTGACCTTCATAGAGGTAGTATCAGTGTACATTCCATTGATATGTGTGAAAGTGCCTGTTTTTTCCCATGTCCTCATCAGTATAGTATGTTATTAAACCTAGATTTTGACAGTCTGATAATGTGAACAGAAGTATGTCACTGTAGCTTTAGGTTACATTTATTCTGTTGCAAGTAAAGTAAACATCATTTCATACATTTAGGAATTATTTATTTCCTGTTCTCCAAACTGTTTACTGATTCTTTTCCATACGTAGGAGAAGGAGTTACGAGGCTTTACATCTTTTTCTTAAATATGTATTTGTGGAATTAGTACTTTGGGTTAGAGTTACAAATACAGTTTACCAGTTTTTTTACTCTTTGGCTTCTAGTCACAGTTAAATCATTTTTAAATGATTTTGTTTTATATTACAGTTAAATATTTATACAGCTCTTTGAATTTTGTAGTTACAAAACACGTAGCTAGAAGAATCTTTGGTTTCTGTGGTTTCATTTTTTTAAATTTTAAAATGTGTAAATTTTCCTGTTTTAGCTACCCATTTTCCCTTTCCTATTTAATGAATAATCCATCTTTTATCCAGTAGTGTTCATTGTAAATGACATCTTTATCAAATAGTACTAAGTTTCTTTAAAGTACTGATTTTCTTTTATAAGTTTTAAAATTTATTGTAGATAGTTCACACTCATTACTCCTTATTTGTAGACTTTCTCCCTTTAGTCTCCCTGGTTATTTTTCATGAATTTTAGTTCCTCTTCTACTCCCAAATAAACAAATAAATATTTCAATAAATGAAAAAAATTTCCTGATTGCCTTTTTTGGGGGGATTATGTTACAAATAAAATATAGATAAATTAGAGAGGATTAAATCTTGAAGTTGAATCTTCCTGCCAAGAACATGGTATGTTGTCTTTGCATTTTGTAAAGTTGGACACTTGGGGACTTCATATTTATTATTTTCTGGACATTTTATCTGTTTTGTTACTATTGCAAATGTATTTTCTTTTATTATGTCAGCTGATTGATTAACTAGTTTAAATTCCACGGTGTACAAATACCTCTTCAAGAACCTGCTTCCAGTTATTTTGGGTATACACTCGGATGTAGAATTGCTGGATGATATTGTAATTATATTTTAATTTTTTGAGGAACCGCCATACTGTTTTCTACAGTGGCCGTACCAGTTTATATTCCCACCAACAGTGTACAAAAGTTTCAGTTTCTCCACTATTACAGAAAACTATTTTCTACAGTGGCTATACCATTTTATATACCCACCAACATTGTATAAAGGTTCAGTTTCTCCACATCCTTGCCAGTGCTTGTTTTCTTTTCTTTTTTTTTTTTTGGTGGAGTTTTTTGTTGTTGTTGTTGTTGTTGTTGTTGTTGTTTTGAGAATTGTCCTAATTGGTGTGGATGGTATTTCATTGTAGTTTTGATTTGCATTTACGTAATGATTAGATTCATGTGCTCATTGGCCATTTGTATGTCTCATTTGGAGAAATGTTTATTCAAGCTCTTTGCTCATTTTTGAATTGGGTGTTTAATTTTGGTTGTTGAGTTTTAAGAGCTCTTTATATATTCTATATATTAATCCCTTATCAGGTATATGATATGCAAATACTTTCTCCCATTCTGTGGGTTACCTTTTTACTCTGTGGATAGTGTCTTTTGATATATTGTTTTTTTAAAAATAATTATGAAATACAGTTTGTCTCGTTACCTATGCCTTTGGTGTTGTATCTGAGAAATCATGGCCAAATGTGACGTTGTAAAGCTTTTGAATGGTTTCTTTAAGAGTATTACTGTTTTAGGTATTAGTTCCTTGGTCCATTTTGAGTTAATTTTTGTATGTGGTGTTAGCTAAGAGTCCAGTCTTCTCAGCAATATTTGGGGAATGGCCTTGGCACCCTTGTCAAAAATATTTTGACCATGTATGTGAGTGCTTATTTTGCATCTTTGTGTAGCAAATTTTGAGATGAGGTAGTTTGAGTTTTCCGACTTTGTTCTTTTTCATGATTATTTGACTATTCAGATCCCTTGAGATTCCATATGAATTTTAAGATGGGTTTTTCCATTTCTGCAAAAATAATGTCGTTGAGATTTTGATGGTTATTATAATGAATCTGTAAATTGTTTTGAGAACTACTGACATCTTAACAATATGAAGCCTTCTACTGCATGGACGTGGGCTGTGTTTCCATTTATTTCTGTCATCTTTAATTTCTTTCAGCAGTTTTGTAGTTTTCATTGTACAAGTCTTTCACCTGTTGTTTAAGTTCATTTCTAATTATTTGCTTTGATGATGATATAAGTGGAATTGTTTTTGTTATTTTCTTTTCAGATTGTTTGTATGTAGAAATGCAACCAATTTTTGTGTGTTGACTTTGTGTCCTGCTACTTTGCTTAGTTCATTCTTGCTTTCTTGCTGAGTCTTTAGGATTTTCTGTATATATCAGTAAGGTTGTATCAACCACAAATGGATAACTTTACGTATTCCTTTCCAATTTGGATGCCTTTCCTTTCTTTTTTCTTGCCTTATTTTTCTGGCTATGACTTCTATTACTACCATATTTGCCATGTGTAATGTGCACCCATGATTTTGTGCACATTATACACAAAGATTATTATACCCATTATACCCAAGGTATGTAATCATTATACCCACTTATAATGCGCATCTTTATTTTTCCCTCAAAAATTTGGGCAAAAAGTGTTCATTATACATGGGAAAATACCAGTATGTTGAATAGAAGTAGTGAAGTTGACCAAAATTAACCTCAATTTATCAACCAAGTTTTCCCCTGGAAGTTGCAAGCCTTTAACAGATTCCAAAGTTTAAAAACAGTTACATCAGATTGTTGCTGTAGAGCTGTTATGTAGGTGGGGAGACAGATTCCTGGGGCATCCTAGTTTGCCATCTTCCCAAAATCTGAACTACTTTAAATAATATGATAATTTTATTTAAATATTGGCATGACTTCATAAAATGGAGGGCTATTTCTCTCTGACTTAATATGTAAAACTATAAAATACACTTTATATTATTAAATATTATGAAATATTTGGCTAGTTACAAAAACCTTGATTTGAATTGAGCTCATTTTGCTTCTTCATAGTTAACAGTTTTCATTACTTCACAGAAATACCGGTATCGGGATGAAGATACACCTCCTCAAGAGCACATTTCCCCACAAATCACTAATGAGGTGATAGGTCCAGAACTGGTTCATGTTTCAGAGAAAAACTTGTCAGAAATCGAGAATGTCCATGGATTTGTTTCTCATTCTCATATTTCACCAATAAAGGTAAGATAATTTTGTTGCTATGAATTATGTATTACTTTTGTTGCTGGTACAGCTTCATGCTCAGAAAAAACTATTTTTTCATGTAGGATTTTTCCCCTTGATCATTCCTGGTTTTTTAGTTACAGGGAATTTTACAATATTTATTAGCATTCTAAAAACATTTTATTATTATTTTTTTTTATATTGTGCTAGACATTTATTTTCTTCATAGATCTTAGAAACTCATACAAGTCATAGAATTGGGGGTACATGCGTTCCTTTTTTTTTTTTTTTTTAATTGTTGTCCAGTTACACTTGTCCTGCCTTTTTCCCCATTGCTCTCTCCTATCTTGTTTCCCCCTCCACACACTCCCACAGTCAATCTTAAAAGATATTTTATAAATGAATTTTAATTGGTTGTACTTTCTTTAAGCCTAAAAATTCCCACAAAAGAAATAACTGTTATATTTCTAATACCACACATTGAAATATTTGTAAACACTTGTTTTAAATATAAGTAGGTACTGAAAAAGCATTAATAGTTCCTTTCAAGTCTAATATGTGACTTTATCTAATCCTATTTCCTTGCCTTCCCTCAGAAATAACCACAATGCTGGCTTCCTATAAAATCAGTTTAGATCTTTGCTTAATATATTGTTTTTTTTTGCCTATCTTGAACTTTGTAAGATTGGAATTATACTCTGTATAATCTCAACTTGCATTTGTTTTGCTTAACATTATGTATATTCCTGAGACTCATTATTTTAGCTGCTGTGGTTTTCTATTTTATGAATATACTATAATTTATCTTTTGATGAACATTGAGATATTTTCAGATTATTACCAGTGTAAAAGGGCTGTTAAAAACAGATTATGCATACACATCTTTGTGGATAATACCAGATTATTTTCCAAGTGGTGGTATAATTTACATTTTTAGCAGCGATATATAAAAGTTGTCATTGATCCATATTCTCAACAGATACCCTTATTTTTGCCATTGTTCGGGGTTGCTCATAGTCTGTCATTGTGATTTTAATGTGTATTTTTCTGTTTGATAATAAGATGAAATATATTTATTGCTCATTGAAGACTCCTGTTCTGTGACATGCCCCCTCAAGAATTTTGCTTATTTTTGTGCTGGGCTCTCCTTTTTACTGATTTGCACAAGTTCTTTAAATATTGGATACTTTGTTGGTTGTATGTGTTGTGACTAAGGATTATTTCTTATTTGGTAAAATTTAACCTGGTTTCTGTAACTTTCTTTAAGGGATGACTTCATATTACTGGTTAAAGAAAATTTTTACTGTATTTTTCCCCTTACCATTTAGCCACTCATACCACCCACTTCCAGTAGTCACCACACTGTTGTCCATGTCCATGAATGCTTTTTCCTTTTTTGCTCATTCTCTCCAGCCCCACTTCCTCCACCCCTCCAGCTGTCATACTGCTCTCCATCTATGAGTCTGTCCCCATATTCCTTGTTCAGTTTGTTCATTTTATTTCACTTAGCATAATGTTCTTCAGGTCCATCCATACTGTCACAAAGGGTAAATTTTTCTTCTTTTTTTACAATCAAGTAAACGTCCCATAGTTGTTTATTCACTCATTTATTGATGTACACACTTGGACTGCTTCCATATCATGGCAGTTGTAAATAATGCTGCAGTGAACATCGGGGTGCTTATGTTCTTTCAAATTAGGGTTTTGGGTTCCTTCCGAATATATTCCCACAAGTGGGATTGGTGGATCAAAAGGCAGATCCATTTTTAATTTTTTTGAAGTATCTGCATACTGCTTTCAACAGTGACTGCACCAGTCTGCATTTCCACCAACAGTGCAAAAGGGCTCCCCTTTCTCCACATCCTTTCCAGCACTCGTATGTTGATTCATTGATGATAGCTACTCTCACAGGCATGAGATGATATCTTGTGGTTTTAATATGCCTTTTTCTGATGATTAGTGACTATGAACATCTTTTCATATGTCTGTGGGCCATCTGTATGTCCCCTTTGGAGAAATGTCTATTCAGGTCTTCTGCCCACTTTTTAATTGGAGTGTGTGTGTGTAGTTTTGCAAGTTCATTGTAAATTTCAGGTGTTAACCCCTTATCAGATATATTAGCAAATATATTCTCCCTTCTGTGGGTTGTCTTTGCATTTTGTTGATAATTTCCTTTGCTCTGCAAAAACTTTTTAGTTTGATGTAGTCCCATTTGTTCATTTTTTCTTTTGTTTTCCCTTGCCTGCAATATATCAGATAAAAGATGGCTACAATCAGTGTCCAAGATTTTGCTGCCTATGGTTTCTTCTATGATTTTTATGGTTTCAGGTCAAACATTTAATGCTTTGATGCACTTTGAATTTACTGTTGTGTGAGGTATAAGAAGGTGGTCTAGTTTCATTATTCTGAACATATCTGTCCAGTTTTCCCATCACCACTTATTGAATAAACATGTCTTTAGCCCGTTGTATGTGCTTGCTCCCTCTGTTGAATATTAATTGACTTTAAAGGTGGCGGTGTATTTCTGTGGTCTCTGTTCTGCTCCATTGATCTGTGAGTCTGTTTTTATGCCAGTACCATGCTGTTTTGATTACTATGGCCTTGTAGTATAGTTTGAGAACAGGTAGCATGATTCCCCCAACTTTGTTCTTCTTTCCCAGGATCGCGGTAGCTGTACAGGGCCTTTTGTGGTTCCATATAAATTTTTGAAATATTCATTCTAGTTTTGTGAAAGACATCATTGGGATCTTGCTTTGGTGGTTAAAATTTTGTATAGTTACAGTATCATTTCAATTTTCTGTTAACTGTTTTGCTAGGTTATTTTTCTAGGAATTTGTCCATTCATATTTATTTCAAAACATTCTGAATATCTTGGATTTTGGGGAGGGGAGTCTATAACATATTTAAGTGTGACTGGCCTCTTTTTCATTCCTAACATTATTTGTTTGTACTTTTTTTTCCTTAATCATCCTTGCCAATGGATGGTCAATTTCAAAGATAATATTTTGAAAGAACCGTCTCTTTTTGAAAAATGTTTTCTTGTGTCCCTCCCCATGTGCTGCCATCCCACTCCCTTGTTTTCATACATACATACACATGTATACACATGTTTATGTGCATATATAAATATAAAAGTGGATAGACTATATATCAGTTGAAGATTGTGTTTGGTAGAAGCAGTCTTGATCTTCCCATGGGAGATAAATGAGAGATACAGTTGGGCTGTTAGTAACAGTCAGCTCTTTTATTTTTCCCCCTTCCTTTATCATGTTATTTTTTAATTTCCTGCTTTCTTTGAGTTTATTCTGTTTTGCTTTTTGTTCTAGTTTCTCAAATTGGTTATTTATTGCATTATCAGTCTTTCCTAATAGTATTTGAGTTTGTAAATTTTCTTTGACATAGCGCTTTAGCCATATCCTCCAAGTTTTAATATGTAATTTTTTTATTATTCTAATGTTTTCTTGTATTTCCATTGGTTTTTTTTCTTTGTCCTATAAGTTATTTAGAAATATGTTTCTTAATTTTTAAACATAGGAGACACCTCTTCCATGTTTTTTAGGTTATATTTTCTCATCTCATTTTTTCTTATTAGCTTAGAAGTTATTTTGTTTCTGTTCCTTTAATGTTATTTTAGAAATTTTAATAAACATCTTTAACTTCAGGAAATTGAAAATCAATAAATATCTTTTGCTCTCATTCTGAGCAACATAAGAACCTTAAAACAATTGAACTTTAATCATTCCTGCTTACTTTATGTACTGTTTTTGTCAGCCTATGCCTATTTTCTCTTGACTGAAATTATGTAACTTTTTTCTTTAGGTGAAAAACCCTGCCTTTTGAGGCAGAAGCCTTTTGTTTCTAGTGTTTTGAATTTCTGGTCATTCCAGTTGTTACAAACTATCCAAAGCCAGTTTGCACACTCAGAACTAACTCCTCAGTTTTTTGGTAGGTGTTTTGATAGCTACTTCCATATGTATGCAGATTCTGACAAGAAGGCTGGAATGAGCCAGCATGCATAAAGTATTTTATATAGCCTCTTTAAATATGAGGGAGCCTCAGTTCTCTGCCATTGCATGAAATGCTAACTCTAAGCAAATAAAACAGTATTCCAAAGACAATATTTTGTTACTCAAAATTTCCAGACCTTTTAGAGATTAAAACTAAGCTTTTTTCCTATTATAAACTTGTTATACATGTTTTCCTATGTTAATTTTTTTTAAACTTCAGATATAATATTACATAGTATATTTATGCCGTAATTTAATGAACACTTCTGGCCTTTGCTATTTATTATTTCCATTTTTACTAGGTTTTATAAAGAAGGCTTCAGTGAATATTCTTTGGACCTCGGAAGTGTTTGATTTATTTCCTTAGGATGGTTTTTGAGGAGTCAAATTACCTGGTCAGAAACATATGAACTTTTTAAGTTTTTAATACTTTTTGAGAGATATATTCTGATACAGTTTTAATTTAAGAATTAGTAAAGCTGCCCTCCTAAGGAATTTTTTCCTGCTTTTCCTATCTCATACATAGGTTATTGTGGCAGGTACCTCATAAAATAATTACTTGAGGAGTGAGATAGGTTAGGAAGGGGTAATAGGAACATGGTTAGGATTCCTTTAACTTTGTTAGAAAATCAATTTTTTTAAAAAAAACTTTTGGTTTGACATAAAGTAAGTTTTCATGTTTTTAATTTTTCTTTTTAAAGATTTTATTTATTTATTTTTAGAGAAAAGGAAAGAGAGAGAGAGAAACATCAATGCATGGTTGCCTCTCACGCACCCCTACTGGGGACCTGGCCTGCAAACCCAGGCATGTGCCCTGACTGGGAATTGAACCAGCAACCATTTAGTTTGTGGACCGGTGCTCAGTCCACTGAACCACACCAGCCAGGGCTAATGTTTTTTAATTTTTTAAAAACCAGGACAAATGTTTTAAGAAGTTCAACATTGAAATATATTTTATTTAAAATATGCTGTCAGTTATCAGATTATTAGCCTCTTTTTACAAAAAACTAA